GCATCTGCTACGTTGCTAGATGAAGTAAAAACAATTGTCAGACTGCAAGTTACTAGAGCTCTACGTTCCACTTCCATCAAATCTATATTCAAGTAACTTTGTTGGAGTAAAGTATCTAAAACCTTTAATCAAGCCTTTATTAAAAAACAGCAAATTAAGTAAAAAACAACCTTACTTAACACCTTAAATCAAAATTGCCGCCACTTAGTTACATTCACTATATGTGATCATACCGATAACTCGTTCAGGAGTTGGTGCTCTGATACCAAATAAAGATTACTGGACGCTAGATAAAATAGTACCTTCTTACATATGTAATTTTCACTGACGGCTCTCAAGTAAACGACACAGTAAACAGTGAAATCTTTTTTAACAAATTTAATATCAGTTTCGACTTATATCTCTTTAAGGCGGAAGTAAAGGCAATCCACTATACAACAAATTGGGTCTCTAGCCAAATGGTTTCTGCCATAAATGTAACACATTCGAAATTGCCGAGCTTCTTCAAGTTCGTTGTCTGGTCTTATCGATGTTCAACTCATATAATCTTACTCTTGAAAAAATATTCATATGGTATATACCTGATGTAGACAAAGAAAGCTTACGTATATCAAAATTGAAATCAAAAGAATTATCTGGTCGAAATTGGACAATTTTCCAATCTAATAGGAACTAACATACAACTTCCTTATTGCAGCTAATAGTTCACTGCTTATTAAAAAGGTATGTATTGAAACTTAGTCTTTAGACACTTTAACGTCTTTTGTAGGAGGTGTGGCTCTGCTTTTGAGGTAGGAACTGTACTTGACCTTATGTGTCAATGCTAAAATTTTCTATCCCTATACCTAACTAAACTGACAGAGCTGTCAGTCTTTAAAATTAGGAATATAGTTAAAGCAATCGGCTTCTCAGATTGGATTTCTTCTACTTGGATGGGAAAGAAACGCGCCTTCCAAAAGTATGTTATTCGTGAACTAAATGTTTCGAAATTCTATCTTTTAGGTGGTTTTACTGAAATAGCATATCTCAAGAAGCATTTATTTGTTTATTAGTGAATTTTATTGCACAAGGTTGCCACTTAAACCTAATCTAACCTAACCCACCAATAAGTGAAGTTCTTCTAACACTTGTATAAATAATACAACACTTGCGTCACTCATCACCTATAATTGTTTACTTTAATCATTTAACTAATAATATTATTTTTTTAACTGTTATATTTGTATACTAACGTTATATGGAATTTTAATTATAAACAACAATATAAAAATTATTGCCATAAGTTATTTATATGCAGTGTTGGAAATGCTTGAATTCTCAGACAAATACTGAAATATACTTAAATATGCACACTTATATATGACCTATTTGTGTATTTGTCTAAACGTGCCCAGTGTATTACGAGTACTCAATTGTGAGGAAAAATCCCTAAGGACCTCTTCTCTGCAGTGCTAACGTATTCATTACGTTTTATGCTGTACGAGTATTCTGGGCACACAAGAGGCAATTCATACAAAAACCAATCAACATTATAATTTCCATTACGGTCATGGTAGGCATGCGAAACATAAATTTGTTCCTCTACGGGCACTCGCCACTCATACTCGCGCTCACAGTAGAGCTCACCCAACCCAGCCGGCCTCTCGGTATGGTATCGTATGGTATGGTATGGTATGCAGTACGCGTTATTGAATAACGAAAAGGGTAAGCCAAACCGAATTTACACACTTTAAAATTTGCTAACATAAAAATAAATACGAAAATTACTGCACAAGAAATATAAATAAATACAAAAAATATATATATTAAGTATCTATAACACAAATCAACACCTTGACTAACACTTACGACTCCTGTAGGTGTTGTAATGTTAACTCATGGCTTGGAAGCAGCAACCTGCAACTCGGGGCAATTCGTATCGTACCTACCCAGTGTTTGGGAAGAGAAAGCAATTATTATTGGCATAAACTGAAGTTTATGTTATCGTAAATGAAATTGGATTTGGGAAAAGTGCGCAAAACACTCAATACCAGCGACCATTACTAAAGTATCGAATAGGTTTTTTTTCGGGTATTAATGTTGATAGAACTTTAAAGCCATGGAAATAACCATAAAAGGTGTTAAAAACTATGCCAGTATGGTGGATTCCAGCTAACAAAAAAATGTATTTAATGGTTTCCTTTTCCAAATTTTCTCTTTTAGACGTGATGGGTATACTACATCTACATCGCTTCAGCTTAAGTGTAATCACCTGTACTAGATAGATAGATAATTATCTATTTTATAGTCCAAATACCTAACAAATGAAATAAAATGTACAAAGAATTTCGCAAGTTGGATATTTTAGAGACTAGTTTTTAGTTTTATGGACTTTTCTTATGGTTTAATAAAAAATAATATCTAATAAAATGGGAATATATTTGATGCAATGCAAATAGTAGTACTTGGTTTTGGGTTCAAAAATGTCATTAGAAATTCTTAAATAAAAAGATGTTAATCTGTTGAATAAACAAACATAAAATAATACAATAAATATAGACTTTATAAAGATTTCCGTTCAATGACACATTTCTGCAACATATGTTAGCAATAAAACTTAAGTAAGTCTTATAAAATTTTCAGATTCATAATTTTTTATGTCAACAATTATTTCAGATTTTAAGAGCTTAAACCAACAAAACTTTTGCACCAAAATTAGTTATTATTTAAGTGTCTACTAAATGCGCAAATGAGAATAAAACTACAAATAAAAATCATTTTTATCAACAGATTAAATAAGTTGAGCAAATTCAAATAACCACAAATTTTATGGCGATTTAAAAATTCTGTTAAATTCACACCGTCGTAAAAATAATGCTAAAAGAGGCTGAGTCACCCATTCGGGGGCTTTGCATATTTTTTATGACTAACTAACATGATAATTAAAGTGGTTGCAGAGACTTTCGCATGCGTTCCCGTAAATGTATCTACTACGTATGCACACAAACCTACCATATGCCATTCAATTCAATGAATTGTTAAGATGTGTAGATATGTAAATGAAGTGGAATGTCGTTGTGGTGTTATAAAAATTATTAAATAAATACTATTCATATATACATAAAGCTAAGAGGTGAGGAAAAGTTACTGAGTCATTGCCACTAAAGTTAAGGATTTTGTTTGCGGTAGGTTTTCTCTGTAAAAAAAAGAAACAAAAGCTGTTAAAGATACAATGCAAGTGGACCACCTATTTCAACACTACAACTGTACTATATATTTAATTCATACAGATTTAAATAATAATTTTTTAATATTAAATAATTATTTACAAGTGGAAATGCTGATTATGTTAAAAAGATTTTACTAAGATCGTGGAACAAGCTTATAGTATGAATACAACTATTACCCATAGAATCTACATCTAAAACCAAAAAATCTATATCTATGAGATTTTATATTGAATGACATAGATTTGCGGATAAAGTAAGTATAATTTAGGTATTCTAATATCTTCAAAAACTGAATTATTAACATATTATAGTTAATATTTGAATATTTAAAACCTGACAGTTGTGCTCAAAAATAGGTTTGCTTAAGATGCTTATGTTATGAGACTCTATGTGTCTATTTCTAAAATGATTCAGAATTAGTGATTCAGAAATATCCATTATTATATAAAGTAGTTTTAAACAAAATAATGCAATCGATAAAGAAACTGTTTTTTAGTATCAAAAAGTATCAATTGCAATTTAATTTAATTTCCTTTTATTTTCATTTACCATATACAATTGCAGTTAATGATGTTAATGATAAGAACTAATTTTAATCACTATTTTAGTAGCGGTTTATATTGATTTAATGCCTCTTATGCTTCCAAAACCTT